CCCCAAAACCCCAAAACCCCAAAACCCCAAAACCCCAAAACCCCATATTAAATTCAGAAATTTTAATTAAAAATAAGAGCAAATATAAAATGATTGCATCAACCTCCCAATGTGCCAAATCTGGAAGAGGAACTCCAATGTTTTCTCGTAGAGGGAAATCAACTATTCCGAAGCATGGTTGCTTCTCGACAAAGGACAATAGAGAATTCGGAGATTTCAGGCAAAAGAAAAAGAAATTTAGTAAAGAGCCCATTGTTACAGATGATATTGACAAAAAGCAAAAGCAGATTCAAGAAATAGAAGAAGTCTTAAAGGATATGGATGAAGAAAGAGAGAAGCGTAAACAAAAAGAAATAGGTAAGTAGTCCTTTTCTCCTTGACTTAATCATTGATTCTCAAATCTAAAAATTCAACAGAGGAACAAAATCAGTTAACAGAAAAAGAGAAAGATAGGATTAAAAAGATAAATAGAATAAAATAACGCAAAGCAGTGGTTCAAGAAATCAAAGCAAAACCCCCCTGCTCCGAACCAATACTTTAAAGACATCTTCAGGAAAGTTGTAAGTTCTCAATCTGAGTTCAGTAGAATACGAATCACTCATCATTATTTGGAAAAGGGCCTAAGAGGCAAACTGACCCATCAATGCATGGCTCTTTCTTCGTAGTTGATAAAAGAAAGTCTAAGTTATACATTCTTCTCAAAAAGCAGAAAAGTAGGAAATGTATCAGAGAAGCAAGAAGCTATTATAGGAAAAGCAATACTAAAGGGTTCAGAAATAAAACAAATTATGTAGAGGAATCTCCTGAACCAAAAAGTAACGCTTATAGCTCATCAAAGTCCAAGTAGTAAGTTTATGTAATTTCAGGGCTAATTTTAATAGTATATCTCCTAGCAGGATCAATCTGTCCACTTCCAAGAGTAATTATACATTAGCTACTTTTGGTGACTTGACAAATCCTAAGCAAAGGAATCAATGTGAGAAATATTATTACGACTCCATGAAATCTATAAACGAAAGTCCATCGGTTTCAGCAGAGGTCCAATCAATTACTTCTGGGCTTAAGGCTCAAAAGAAAATATGCCAACCACCTCAAAAAATGAGGAATATAAAATTAATGGAATATGGTAAGCTTCTTCAAACGAACTTTCAGGCCAGAATTTTTCAACTGGAAAGCACTCCAATCAGAGAGACTTAAGCCCTCTTTCAAAATTTCGGGCAAGTCCTTCAAGGTCAATTAAGAGGCCTAAAACTGCACTTTTTCATTCACAAAAGGTATAAATTAAGCATAAAATCACAGACTGATAAATCAGAGAGCAAATTGTCTAAACTGTCAATGATCAAACAAATATCTCGTGATCAGGCAAATAAATTAATGCCTAACAGAACAGACCCTCATGAGTCAAGATTCAAGATGAAAGACATCGAGAAAGAGCTTAGTTACAAGTATAGAAATAACTGAAATATTTACATCAATTTTGGAAGCATCCCGAAAAATAACAGTCAAGAGAAGTTGCGAAGAAAAGATGTTGAAAGAGGCAAAGCAAATGAGCAAAAACTGTACTATGATATTGACCTAGAAGTAACCAGCCAGCGTCTCAGTTTTCTAGGCTTTGAAATAAACCAATATCTGTTCCAAATTTTGAGAAATACATGCCAAGAGATGACAGATTTTTGTAAGCAGTAGATTCTTCTCATATTTCCTTGGTGATTATTGTATGTTATGTACTATTGATAGAATAAATAAATGACTTGATACACCTTGATATGATTTCTCAGATGAAATCTTATACCTCAACTCTAATAAAATCATCCCGATGGATAAGGTACATTCTTCCCTAACTCTGTAGCAACTAAGTGAGGAAAAAGTAAAGAGAGGCAGAAGTGAAATGGTATATTCATGTAAGTCCTGGACTACTCCCTCTATAGCTCTGAATAACTTCCAATCAAAAATGAAGAAGCTCCATGGGTTCTTAGAATCCAGTTTTAAGTAAATAAACACTTATCAATTTTTATACCTGAAATAGGGGTTTTGGGGTTTTGGGGTTTTGGGGTTTTGGGG